TATTGCTCTTGTTGTTTAACCGCTTATAACCGAGATTCTTGGACTGTTGGGTGTAATAAGGTTGCTCAATAATCACTTCAATAACTGAACAAAACGCTATATTTGCTCAGACCTTAGGCGTCTCGAAGGCTTGGGTGAGAGTGAGACTGTCATTCTGAGCGACAATAGGGCACTCCATTCGCTCAGATCCTGAGTGTTCTGTAGGCTTGGGCAATGATAATCCTCTACTTGTGGGCTGTCCTTACATTTTACAATAGTCTTATTTGAGCCCATTCCTCAATTTCCCTAACTGTGCTCCATTTCTTGGACCACATAATTGGGCCTCATTTAATCGTTGGGCCTTGTTTTTGTATATCAACAACTTTTATATTGTGGAATAGCTCAAAGTCGTGTTTTATGATAGGGGCACAATACTTTCAATGAAAACGAGGCTTGTACATTATGTTTTTGCTTATTATCATTTTGTATTTCCTTTTACGAAAATCAATCTGTTACCGAATCTTTCCTTGTTTAAAATGTTAAGCCAAAGTGAGGATGACAACTCTAATTATTTAAGGTGTCAATATTGTTTACAATAATTAAGGATTGCATAAAACAAATCTTCAAATATTTTCTCAAACAGAAACTAACCTGTCCTGTTTACAAAATCAGACTATTTGGTAGCTAGCTTCATTTATCGTTACACGTCAAGCTACCACTACATTATCCTGAAGACCGAATACTTTATACTCTGTTTTATGAAAAACTCGAGTTTTGGGGTCATCATATAAACCTTCCCTGAAGACACCATCTTTTGATTACAACCATTAATACAGTAGTGTATATGGCAATGCCTTAGTGTGATGCACATTGAAAGGAATAGATTATATTTGGCTAAGTTTAACAAAACAAAACAAAGGTGATACGATGGGAAAAACAAAACAAAATTTAAAGACCATGAAGGATTTGGAGTTATATTGCAACTATCCCAAGCTTGCACAATAGATCTCAATTTTTAGTAGAAATTTCTATAATTCATTCCTAATTGTACCCATAACTTTTAAGTCTCTCCTTCACAACTGGTCTCTTTCATGAATGTGTGGAT